AGCAGGATCCTCTATGACCCACATCCCAGAATTTTAGAAATAAAAGCAAAAATAAACAAATGGGACCTAATGAAACTTAAAAGCTTTTGCACAACAAAGGAAACTATAAGCAAGGTGAAAAGACAGCCCTCAGATTGGGAGAAAATAATAGCAAACGAAGCAACAGACAAAGGATTAATCTCAAAAATATACAAGCAACTCCTCCAGCTCAACTCCAGAAAAATAAATGACCCAATCAAAAAATGGGCCAAAGAACTGAACAGACATTTCTCCAAGGAAGACATACAGATGGCTAACAAACACATGAAAAGATGCTCAACATCACTCATTATCAGAGAAATGCAAATCAAAACCACAATGAGGTACCATTACACACCAGTCAGGATGGCTGCTATCCAAAAGTCTACAAGCAATAAATGCTGGAGAGGGTGTGGAGAAAAGGGAACCCTCTTACACTGTTGGTGGGAATGCAAATTAGTACAGCCACTATGGAAAACAGTGTGGAGATTTCTTAAAAAGCTGGAAATAGAACTGCCATATGACCCAGCAATCCCACTTCTGGGCATACACACTGAGGAAACCAGATCTGAAAGAGACACATGCACCCCAATGTTCATCGCAGCACTGTTTATAATAGCCAGGACATGGAAGCAACCTAGATGCCCATCAGCAGACGAATGGATGAGGAAGCTGTGGTACATATACACCATGGAATATTACTCAGCCATTAAAAAGAATTCATTTGAATCAGTTCTAATGAGATGGATGAAACTGGAGCCCATTATACAGAGCGAAGTAAGCCAGAAAGATAAAGACCATTACAGTATACTAACACATATATATGGAATTTAGAAAGATGGTAACGATAACCCTATATGCAAAACAGAAAAAGAGACTCCAATGTATAGAACAGACCTGTGGACTCTGGGAGAAGGCGAGGGTGGGATGTTTCAAGAGAACAGCATCGAAACACGTATATTATATAGGGTGAAACAGATCACCAGCCCAGGTTGGGTGCATGAGACAAGTGCTTGGGCCTGGTGCACTGGGAAGACCCAGAGGGATCGGGTGGAGAGGGAGGTGGGAGGGGGGACCGGGATGGGGAATACATGTAAATCCATGGCTGATTCATTTCAATGTATGACAAAACCCACTGCAATGATGTAAAGTAATTAGCCTCCAACTAATAAAAATAAATGGAAAAAAAAAAAAAAGAATACACATGTAGAGATTTTTTTAAAAGACTGGTGGCTATCCCTATGTAAGAGAGAATTCCTACTTGGCTTCTCTGCCCTTCTCAAACAGATCTCTGTTGTGACCCACAGTATGCTGAAAACTTAAAAACAAAATAATAAAAAAAAAAACCCTTAAAAGACAAACTTATATAGTGAAGAAATAAAACACAAACACAGAACTGATTATGAGAAAGACATTCTACTGGATTGAAAGAATCAGACTTTTTATGTGCCCTGCCAAGATGATTTACCAGTGAACTATTTGAAAACATTCAAAGGAAAGATGATTATCACATTCTATAGATATTTCTCCAGAATGACACTGTCCAAAATGGCAGCCATTAGTAACATGTGGTTACTGAGTTCTTGAAATGTGACTGGTGCATCTGATGAAGTAAGTTTTCTTAATGTTATCTGATTCTACTCTTTAATGGCATATGGCAAATGGCTAACAACTGAACAGTATAGTCCTAGAGGGGAGAAAAGATGGAAGTTTCCCATTTTGGAATCACCATGACACAAAGAAAATAATGGCAATTTTATTAATCATACAAGAAAAGTCTGGATGAAATACTGGAAAATTGAATAGAACACTGTATGAAGAAAATACGCAATGCTCAAGTATTATTTTCTTCCAGATACACAAGGACATCTTAATAATCAGGAAATGACTAAATATAACTCATGACATCAATTATAGCAAGGAGGAAAGCTCTATAAGCCTGTCTTCAGATGCTGAGAATGCATCAGTAAGATTTAAGTATTTATTCCTGATTTTCAAAAATCCCAGAACTTTCCTAGCATGATTAAAAAATATGAATCTTTGGGCATCAGCAAACCTGTAACTAACATACTAGGAATATTTCCATTAAAGTCAGGAAGGAACAAGACAGATGAACAGCTATAACTATTTATCATACCTTTACAGGCAATATAAAAATAAAAAGAAATAAGACAACTATTACAAAATCAGAGAATAAATTACCATCTATAAAACAAAAGTTATTAAAAATCAGCTGAAACTATTAATACTAAGAAATGAATAGTAAGGCTGCTGGTTATTCTTTCCAAGTGGAAATGCTGATAATAAGTATGTTTAAAAGAAATCCACTAGTAAGTGAATTTAAAGTATTACAAAAGTACTACAAAGGCTTAAGAGTCACCAAATGTTGAGCTTTCCCTTGAAACAATCAAGTCAAATCTGCTAATAAAACTCTTCAAAGGTTTCTGACTCTTCAATCACCCTACATGAGTAAGGACACACACAAACACTCTCTCCCCATTCAATGCATACTGACTTCCTACCAACCCAGCAAACAACCATGGCAAAACTAAAACTGTTTCAGAAAAAGGCTAATTAATATTTATTTTCTTTATGTTGAAAAAAGAGAACTGTCATGTTTCCTCTTGGAATATGCCCCTGAAATGCTAAAGAGTTAACCACATGGAAGAGATCTAAAAGTGCACAAGAGAAAGCTCAAGATTTGGGATCCTAATTCAATTTCCCCTCACATTTTAATAGGAGCCTGGAGTAAACTTCTGTTTTTAGAGATACTCTCAGCAGAGAACTGAACAAAAGACTATTGTGTCTTCAACCTGGTAAGGTCTCTGAAGTCCCATCTCTATCAACTTTTCAAACATCAGGTTGGAGTTAAATGATTTTCAACTTTCAATTGACTATTTCCAGGCCATAAAATCTAACCACACTTATAAGATGGTATAAGTATTCCAAGTGAGTTATAGCTGAATTCAAATGTGAAACCTGCATTTTTCAAGTGCCAGTAAAAGAAGTTTAGACTTTGACTGTATACACTGACTTGCTCAAGAATGCCATATAATGTTTTCATTTCCTTCTCCAACAAAAATTTTCATCTGCAGCTGATAAATCTGACTCGGTATCATTTTGGATAAAAAGCATATGGGCATCAGTCATACCACTCTATGATTTTCTTATTAAAATAAGAACTGCACCTTTTTCTCTAAGTTAACAAGAACAAAAAAGATGAAGTTAACAGGCATGCCTAATCACTATAAACACTGCTGTCTCAATCTGTAGTATGTGTCCAGCCACAGGCCTGCAACAATATAAAAAGAAAGAAGAAATCACCCGATCCCTGGTGTGGTCATCTTAAAACATGTCCTCGAATTCTCTGACGTATCTCCCATTGAAGGTGGAGTTACTTCCCTCCCTGTGAGTCTGGGCCAGGCTTAGTGACTCTTACCTCTTAATGAAGAAAATGTGGCAAAAATGAGGCTGAATGCATTAAGGGCTAGGCCACAGAGGCTGATGCAGTTTCCTCCTGGGATGCTCAGCTGCAGAACCCTATTGGTGTGCTGCAAGGAAGCCAAGGAGCCACATGGAAAGGTCACACGTTCCAGCGCTAGTGCCACATCCACACAAGGTCCCAGCCAACAGACAGCATCAGTCAGCAGACACGTCAGTGACAAGCACCTTCACGTGATTCCAGTGCCCAGGCTTTGAGCACTTCAGCTGACACGGTGCAGCACGGAAACGAGCTGTCCCACCAAACCTGCCTGAACTGCAGATTCATGAAAAATTTAAGACTGCCTTTGCTTTAAGCCACTAGGCTTTGGGTGGTTTGTTTTGCAGTAACAGATAACTAGAACATGTAGATTAATTCAACCATGTTCGGCCATTCAGTTTCTTCTTTTCATTCCCACCCCACCCCATCCCACTCTCCCCCTACCCTCTCTGCTCCCTGCTCATCCCCATGACAGGAAAACTTTTCAGTAAACATCAACAACTATGCTGGCATACCCAGTCTCAGTCAACTCACTCTAGAAACCATAGCTAGAACCCCAGCATTTATCACCCTTGTTGGCAATCCACTTTCTCTTGTTCTGTTTGCTTCTCACCTCTTAATACACCCCTGTCCCGCCTTAAACTTACTCCTCACTCTGAAAGGTTTTATTAAACACCTGGCTTATGAAACTGCTGCTACTGCTACATATGCTCCAGTTTTTAAATCAACAAACAAGTGAAATTTGCCTTACAAACTGGTAACTAGTTCAAGATGTTCTGATGGAGCCATTGAAACGGGTTCTCAACCCAACCTGGTAACCATATCAAAAGTTTACTGTTCCTCTAATGAAAACTTGGAAGAGAAATGTCCTAATAACTGATGCAGATTTTTCTTTAAAAAACACAAGCCTGAAAAGTTAAAGCTAGAGGGGACCTTGGAGATGATCTAGTCTAGGACTTTTTTTCAGTCAGTGGTATACTGACAATTTTCATGACAAAAGTACTAAGCATTTTTATCTCACTCTATCCTCACTGAAATGTCAACCCGCCATAATATAATGGCAATTATAAACTGGAATTTTGTGTGTATTTTATTTTTACATTAGTTTGTATGTATCTTAGAAATATGATGTACATAAAATTTTGTTTATATTTTATAGCTACAGTAATAAAATGTATCCATACAATGCTGTTTAATGTTCTACCCTTAAAGTTTAGGATATATTATAAATATAATAAAAGAAGCTCTGAAAGTCTGTAACAGTCTTAGAAAAAAAATTAAAGTAGCTCTTCTATTTTTACAATAAGATTGTTAGTAAAAATTACTCTAGTCCAAATTATTTTGGAAAGCTGGGGACCAGAAAGGTTATACAATTGGTCTGAGGCCATATACTAGTTAGTGACAGAACTATGAGCAGAATTTTGGTAAACTCATGCTTTATAGTCAAGCACAGGGCTCAAATAGATCTAGGTTAATAGACAGAAAACAATTTCTGTATGCTTCAATTTAGAAGGTAAGCTGAAGTGGTTGGCTGGATTCCAATCCCTTCAATGTTGCATTTATAGTCATTCTGGCAGACTATCTTCCTCCCTAATGTAAAGAAACAGAACCGTAATGAAGGGGCTTCAGGCAACACCAGGCAAATGTGGAGGAAATGTGGTTGAGAGTGTGGACAGGCTCTTCAAAAACCATTCACCATCCCATATCCCCTGCCTTACTTGTAGAGACTCAACCTTTGGCTTTCACTGCAGCTAGGGGTGACCACATGACAAAATCACAAAGAAGCGAGGATATGTATAATACATTGGTCACTAACAGGGCATTTCTTCCCAAATAAAAATACCAGTGCTTGCTCAACAGGGACCCCAGATGTGCCAGATTTAACCCTTTAGCTCTGGATTATGGGGAAGTCCAGGGGGAAAAAAGGTGCCAGGAGGGGGGGTCGGGGAGTAGTGCCTGCTTATTCCAACCTCAGGCTGTGGTGTTTCCATACATTAAGACTGGCACCAGTGGGTGCTGGCTGAACACCAGCTCTGCTTCACACCTGCCCACACTTCCCACATCCAAACCGCTGAACTTCCTCATCACTCCACAGAGCAAACCAGACATTTTCATCCCAAACATATCTTAGTTTCTAGTTCCCTACTGAGAGAGGTGAAAGCTGGCATAATGGAATAATCAGAACACACATGACAAGTGATATTTAGGAGAAATGTATAAAGCCTCTATTTATGAGCACTTCTTAGTAAGAGATATTTTAGATATCTAATAGACCATATATGGAGTGGTCACTGCCAAAGGGTTTTAAAGTAACATCAACCAAATCATCCAAAATAAATAAACTAATGACCACAAAAATAAATGAAACATCAGTGCTGTGAGAAGGCCTTTGGCCTGTGTGCCCTCTTCCTGCCAGCAATGTCGATGCAGATGCCATCTTGGTTCCATGGGGACAAGGCGCCATGCTAAGGACTGCGAACAGGTGAAGAGAGGGGCCCTGCTCCCTGATGACATAAGACAGCCACCGCACCAGTCCTCAACTGTCCATCCTCTACCCTAATCTTCCCACTGTGGGAAACTGAAGACTGTGTAGTTGGTTTTTGATCACTGGCAGTTAAATACAATCCTAATGCTTCTACAAAATATATCTCACTTTTCTCTTTAATTCATTTTGTCCCAAAGTTGTGTGTCCATCTTATTTTTTTAACAACTGAATTTGGTAAACAAATGCTTAACCAACGGGCACCTTTACCAAACCCTAGCTCCTACCACTGCTCCCAAATAACTTCAAAAGATCAGTAAAAGAGAATGAGGTATTTCTCTCTTCTCCAAGACGAAGAAAGCTTGAATCTGTGGTAGGTCTCCTGCAGATAGCAGGGTTATGGCTGCCTTAGGAGGCAGATGAGAGAGAGATGGTCTCCCTGCTCATAACACAGCTGACCTCAGGGCTGAGCAACACACAGCAATCTAGAAATAGGCAGAAGGAAACCAGAACTACTGCACATCATGTTCCTGACCTCTGCTGGGGAGAGAGCACAAACAACGACCCTTAACTGGAGGGGATACGACAGAAACCATGCGCTGAACACTTATTGAGTACTTCTCTTTTCACTTGAACGTTGTGTTAGAGATCTTCCACCTCACCTTCCATTTAAGAAACAAAAGTAATTGAGTGTGAGGAATACAGGAATCACAAGGAAGGCTTATAAACAAAAACAGAGTGCTTTCTATTCATCTTCCCATGTCCTTCCTGATAAAAAATGTTTTGCTGGTTATGGAAGCTCATAAGTCATGTCAATTGTTAGGGTACAACAACATTTTCCAAAGGGGGTGAAAAGAATGGGCAACACTGAGGAGAGGCTACAAATTCATGACCCCCAAAAAAAGCAATGAAAAAAAAGTTTTAATAATGTATTTCTGCAAGGGAGCATCAAAACACAAATTTCTTGGACTAAAGTGGACAAAATCCAGCAGCTCCAGACCAGCAGTCTAGACCATTTCTCTAAAACATAAAAAGAAGCTGGAGCCCAAGGAGTCCCCCCGTAAATAGCTCTACATCTGACAAGGACTCCAGGGGTTCAGAACAGGACCCAGCATTCCATATCACACTCAGAGTGACTGTGACGATTCAAGGGAAATTCCTTCATCTGAGTCTTCCAAGGTTGCACTGAGGACCTTTAAAAGTGAAGTCCGCAAAGAAGTAATGAACATTATGGAGATGAGGAACAGTATGTATGGATTTATAATATAAAACAACATTCAAAGGATTAAAAAATCCTGGAAGACAGACCCTTATATCAGAATAGTTTCTGATACTTTAGAACCAGAAGTGTCTTATTCATCTGAACCAACTTTACTGTGAGCAGAAATTCTTTCTCATCCCCAAATGAATGGAACCTCAGCTTATTCACAGATTTCTTAAGCAGTTACTTTTTTTTTCTTTTCTAACATAATTTACAGCAAGTTACTGCTGTACATGGGCTTCCCTGGTAGCTCAGCTGGTAAAAAAAATCTGCCTGCAATGCAGAAGACCCCAGTTCCATTCCTGAGTCGGGAAGATCCCCTGGAGAAGGGATAGGCTGCATACTCCAGTATTCTTGGGCTTCCCTGCTGGCTTAGACAGTAAAGAATCCTCCTGAGGGAGACCTGGGTTCAATCCCTGGGTTAGGAAGAACCCCTGGAGGAGGGTATGGCAACCCACTTCATACTCTTGCCTGGAGAATCCCCATGGATAGAGGAGCGTGGTGGACTCCAGTCCACGGGGTCACAAAGAGTCAGACATGACTGAGCGACTAAGCACAGCACAGCACTACTGTACATGCTGATTACTGAGATGCACTAGGTTAAAACCAAAGGACACGACCCAAAATAAATAAATAAAAAAACAAGAATGAGATCCAAGTCATTTCCCTCAGAGATCTCACGTGCTCTGGGTGACATGTCAGGCCACATCTCAGAACGGAGCACAGATGTTACACACAGCACACCCTACCTAGCACGTTTCCTGGAGGCACCTCCTCGAGGTCTTCCAGCTTCCCATCAGAAGGTACAGGTTTTCCAACGCACAGCACGTCACGTGGGGGAGCTGGGGAAGGTCCTCTAATGGAGCTGAGAAGCCTAATGGCACCTGGGCAAAAAAGAAAAAAGAACAGAAGCCAAGTTAGGAGACGTCAAAGGAAAACAGGTTTGGGTTAATACCTACAAAGTTACTTTGATTCATAAGTAAGATATAATGCAGTCACATTTCATGTAAACCCGAAACATTCACAAACAACGTTTCACATCTGAAACGGTGTGATATAAAAACAAGTCTCAGTCTATGAGTAAATTCTGAACTAGAGACTTCTCATATACATAAAACCTGTCAAGAATTCCACATAAACTTTATTGCTAATATAAATTCTGCTGTGACCTGGTAGCACGATATTAACACATGAAAATCCCCATACTCTTTGCCAGTATTTATATGAACTGTGTCAGACACTGTTGGACATTTTAACACTCATTGTTACTATTATCACTTAAAATAGCTTTAACATTATTATATTGTCATGTCAATTACAATCTTATAATGTCCTTTGAGCATGTGACAAGGGCTGGTGCTAGTGCTGAGTAACACAGGAAAATGAATAACTTTGAAGAGTAGTTAGATGTCATAAAAATGTCACGTAAGGGCCAAACAGTCACTATTCTAGGCTGGGCTGTTAATGTGGGAGACAGCGTGCTGTGAAACGTCAGGGACTCTGACGAGAAGACACACAACACTCACACTGCAAAGCTCTAGCTCTAGAGCTCTAGCTTGTGGTTTCTTCTTTCCCCTTTGGTCCAGACATACTTAGATGCTGGCTGTTCACCGACTGTCAGACCCTCTTGGTCAATCTCTGGGATCTGCCTGCCAAGAAACCGCTGCCTATCATCTGCTCACCACCCATGCCTTTGGCTCGTGCCACCTGGGTTTTGGATTTTTATGTCTTGAACACCTGGCATCGTCCTGGCTCCACCATGACATCTGTTCTTCTCAGTTCTTTCCTCTAACTTTGAATTTCTAGAAAAGCCTTATAAATTAACTAAGTAAGGTTTGAAAACTTGCTTCTTGTACTAGTCTAACTTCCTAAATGCTATTACTTGAGACAGGTTTATCAAATGGTACCAAAGTGACACAAAAGGAAGTATACAGATTCACTCAAATGCGCCTCCCTAGAGATCAAACGCATCTACCAAGAAGGTAATCACTAGTCTAACAAGAAAGCAGAACCACGAAACAGTATACGAGTGTTTTACTTCCTGTTCTTACCTGCTGCAAAACCTCAAGAGGACTGTATTTGGGTTCCAGGACAAAAATTCTCTTTCCTCTTCACACCACACCACTGAACACAAGAGTGAAGGTGATAAAAGACTCCTGCTTGCTTCCTTCCGAGGGCACGGGTTTGGGGGGCTCACTTTCTACCTCCTGCTCATCACCTGCCAGAAACAGAAGGACCATGAGTGCCCAGATGCTCTCTGCATCCAGGAGCTGCCAAGAAAGAGAGGTGACAAGGAAGACACTGTTGTTAGCTGAGACTGAGCGAGGAAACACCAAGGATAGAAGTATACTGATGAAAGCTATCTTCAAAGCTAAAAGCCCAAGAGCAGAAGGATGAGTGTTCCAACTTTGGCAAAAACCCCATCCGTATCACCGAGGATGGGGAAACTACTGAGAAAAGCTCTACCTTTTGGCTCTTCTCCCTGTGGACTCATTTCAAGGGCGCCTGCATCTTGGGTGGGCTCCACAGGTGCCTGGCCCTGCGCTGCTGCCAACTTCCCCGCATGCCTTCGTCTTGCACGCTCTCGCCTCTCAGCAATCTGCTCCTGAGTGAGAGGTCTACAGGACACCACAGACATGTTAACACCTGGCCATGGCAAGGATCTCAGTCTGTTCCAGCCAAGAAACAGCTAGTATTAACGTGGACAGCAAGGAGATCAAACCAGTCAATCTTAAAGGAAATCAACCCTGAATATTCACTGGAAGGACTGATGCTAAAGCTCCAGTATTCTGGCCACCTGATGCGAAGAGCCAACTCATTGGAAAAGACCCTGATACTGGGAAAGACTGAGGTCCAGAAAAGAGGGCAACGACAGAGGATGAGATGTTTGGGTGGCATCACCGACTCAAAGGACATGAGTTTTCGCAAGCTCCGGGAGATAGTGAAGGACAGAGAAGCCTGGTGTGCTGCAGTCCACAGGGCTGCAAAGAGTCGGACACGACTGAGTGACTGAACAAGAACAACAATGAGGCTGGAGAAGACGGTGGTTGGTCCCCTGTACCTTCCTGGTGGAAAGTTTGTCCGAGTTCTCTCGTTCAGCAAGAGGAGAGAAGGCCTATCACGCTTTCTCTGGGAACCCTGCTGTTGAGGTTTAGCCACTCAGTCATGTCAGACTCTTTGTGACCCCTGGACTGGAGCCTGCCAGACTCCTCTATCCACGGATTTCCCAGCCAAGAACACTGGAGTGGGTTGCCAGTCCCTCCTCCACTGGGAATGTTGGGTCCCCAGCTACTCTGAGCTTATGAACCGACATGCAGGAGCCCGTGTCCCCACACAGTCACACACAACAGCATGGAACCTCTCTCAGGCACCCATGTTCCTCCTCTACTGGGCAAACAGCCGGAAAAGAGAGGGAACAAGCAACAGATACCACAGCTCAGAACACTCTAACAGAGATACGCAGACGACCTCAGTAAGAAACCAAGCTTTTCTCCATGAAAGCAGGAAAATACACCTCCATAGGGAACTGCAGTCCAAGAGGAAGGGCCAGGCTCAACGCTGGCGATTCAGGCCGGACAGAAGGTCCATCGGTGACTATCAGTCACAGTGTCAGATCCGAGTTCCACCAGAGGACAGGTGTGAGGGCACATGTCTGTGTGTTTGCTGGGGGCTCGCCCGGGGGGTGGGACACCTTGCTCGGTCCTGTCACGTTGTGCCCGCCTTCTCTACCGCCCCCCAACTTTGGTACAATGACTCCTGCTCACGCCTCCATCTCCGGCTGACAACCTCGTCTCCCATCCTGCCATTCCCTTCCCCTTCTCTCTCCTGGAAGCCACTCGGAGGCTGTACCGAGAGTGCACTGGCCCATGCATGCTGCAAGCCGTGTGCTCCTGGAGCTCCTAGCCTCAGGTGCCCTAATCCCCCTTCTACATCATGTGGGCAGCCCCACACCTAAGTCACCAGCTGTCCACTGCTGTCCTCTTCGGACACCCACCTGCTAGACAAGACCTCCCCCCAGGACTGGACACCACTTCTATTCCTGTAGCACCTGCCCCTTGAAATGGATGAACTTGTTTCTAGGAGTCGGCCCCTTCTAGTCAGACCCGCTCCGATGTAGGAAGCAGGGTTGTGCCATCAGATACAAAAAGAAAAAAGAAAAAGGGAGCGACCTTTGAGGATGGCTTGTTCAGAGGTTGTCAGGAAGTCACATCTGCTGGCATAAGCTCCTCTCCACTGGAAGCTCTCAGTGTTAAAGGCCTTTCGCACACAGGATGAAATGTCTAGGCTCCTGTTCTGTCTTCTGGAGCAACACCCAACAAACGTACTGCCCTTTCCTCGCTTTTCGATCATCTGCCCTCACACCCCTCCCCTCGCCCTTCTCTTCTTCAGGCTACACACTCCAGCAGTCCTGTCAATCAACGCTTATGTAACTTATCTTGCTTCCAGACTTTATAAGAGTATTTGAAAAGTATGAATTAACCTATGGCTGATTCTTGTTGATGTATGACAGAAAACCACAAAATTCTGTAAAGCAACCATCCTTCAATTAAAAATTTTAAAAAAATATATAAACATGGAATACCTTATTATCACTGTAAACAGGGAGGTTAAAAACAAAAAAACTGATGCACTGGTTAGCACAGAGAGAAATGGTTCTTCCAATGGGCTTATCAGTTCAGTTGAGTTCAGTCACTGAGTCCTGTCTGACTCTTCTCGACCCCAAGGATTGCAGCACGCCAGGCTTCCCTGTCCATCACCAACTCCTGCAGCTTGCTCAAACTCATGTCCATTGAGTCAGTGATGCCATTCAACCATCTCATTCACAGTCGTCCCCTTCTCCTCCTGCCTTCAATCTTTCTCGGTATCAGGGTCTTTCCAATGAGTCAGCCCTTCGCATCAGGTGGCCAAAAGATTGGAGCTTCAGCTTCGACATCAGTTATTCCAATGAATATTCAGGATTGATTTCCTTTAGGATGGACTAGTTGGATCTCCTTGCAGTCCAAGGGATTCTCAAGAGTCTTCTCCAACACCACAGTTTAAAAGCATCAATTCTTCGGCACTCAGCTTTCTTTATAGTCCAAATCTCACATCCACACATAACTACTGGGAAAAGCAAAGCCCTGACTAGACGGACCTTTGCTGGCAAAGTAATGTCTCTGCTTTTTAATATGCTGTCTAGGATGGTCATAACTTTTTAAATTTCATGGCTGCAATCACCATCTGCAGTTATTTTGGAGCCCAGAAAAATAAAGTCAGCCATTGTTTCCACTGTTTCCCCATCTATTTGCCATGAAGTGATGGGACCAGAGGCCATGATCTTAATTTTCTGAATGTTGAGCTTTAAGCCAACTTTTTCACTCTCCTCTTTCCCTTTCATCAAGAGACTCTTTAGTTCTTCTTCACTTTGTGCCATAAGGGTGGTGTCACCTGCATGTCTGACGTTATTGATATTTCTCCTGGCAATCGTGATTCCAGCTTGTGCCTCTTCCAGCCCAGCATTTCTAATGATATACTCTACACCAGATATGAGAACTAATGTTACTCACTTTATTAAACAGATGAACAAGATGATTCAGGCTATGGATTCTCCTGAAGCCTCAGTCGCCTCACTTTGGGAAATGTTAACTAGCCCTCCCTGGTGGAAAACTGTCTTAATCATAATCATTCTAACTGTTCTGTTTTTACTGCTTGCTCTCTGCATCTGTAACTGTGTACCTGCATTTGTTTCTAACCTTGTGAAAGCTTTTAAGTTACAAATGGTTGTCCAGGCTCCTAGAGTGCCACAGCCTCCTTCAACTATTATTTGGGGCCCCTGGGTCAGAGACCTTCAATATGAGGGTTAGGGGAATACGCTGCCTCAACAATTTAGGGACAGCGCCCCATCACAGCAGAAGTAGTTCTGGAACAAAAATGACGCCCCTTTCCCCTGGCAACACAATGCTCCTAAAAGAAAAGGGGGGATGAGAGTCAATTCTTAGGCAGGTTGCTAAAGAAGTCCAGGGTCCCTGAGGAGGAGAGAGGGGTCTGCAATTCTCAAGGAAGAGGAAAGGACAAATGTCTTTTTTTTCCCTCTCTCTACATTCCTTAGCCTTAGTCACATAAAACTTTTTTTTTGGGGGGGGGGATGTTTCAAGAGAACAGCATCGAAACATGTATATTATCTAGGGTGAAACAGATCACCAGCCCAGGTTGGATGCATGAGACCAGTGCTCGGGCCTGGTGCACTGGGAAGACCCAGAGGGATCGGGTGGAGAGGGAGGTGGGAGGGGGGACCGGGATGGGGAATACATGTAAATCCATGGCTAATTCATTTCAATGTATAACAAAAACCACTGCAATGATGTAAAGTAATTAGCCTCCAACTAATAAAAATAAATGGGAAAAAAAAAACCAATTTTTTTCTTTAAGCCCTGAACTGATGATTAAACAACAACACAACTCAGCTTAGACTCTGTACTAAAGATTAAATAACAACATATACATAACTGCTTGAGGACAGTTTCTCCTTCCTGAAAACCTTCTGACTAATCCTGTTATCTTAAAATGTATATTATGGAAGTGGGTCTGGTAAGATCTTCCTATTGTTAAGTTCTAATCCTGTTATCTTAAAATGTAAATTGTGAGGATGGGTCTGGTAAAATTTTTATAACCTTGAGATTTATTGTAATAACTAATTGAAAAAGCATATAGCTCCCTTGCTAAAGACTTGCAAGGAGGCAATGTCCGCCCCTTCTGATGTCTATGTCAGAAGCTTTCTCTACCCCTCTTCAATGTAATAAAACTCCGCTACACACACACACACACACACACACACACACAAAAGTAATTCAAGTTCTGCACTGTTAAAATTTGCCATTTGGTATTAGAATACATTCTTAAATAAATGTGGTTATGTTTATCTTATTTATCTTAAATAAATTATGGTTATGAATATATGTGTGTATATATATACATATACACACACATCATCTTAATGCACATTTTTCACTTTATGTTTTTTTGCTAATGACTTATTACTTGCTGTTTATTTTACACTTATTTTAGACTAGGGAAATGATGTTAGACAAAAAGCAAATTCAAGTGATTTTCCTATTGAGTAAATAATGGGCTATAAAGCAGTGGAGACAACTTATAACATCAACAACTCATTTGGCCCAGGAACTACTAATACAGTTCAGTGGTGGTTCAAGAAGCACTGCAAAGGAGACGAGAGCCTTGAAGATGAGTGGCCAGTACAGTGGCCAGCCGTTACAAGTTGACGAGGACCACTTGAGAGCCCTATCAAAGCTGACTCTCCTACAAAACCACACGAGACGCTGCTGAAGAACTCAACGTCAACCACTGTACCGCTGTGCAGCATTTGAAGCAAAAGGGAAAGGTGGAAAAGCTTGGCAAGTGGGGGCCTCATGTTGCCGCTCAGTTGCTCAGTTGTGTCCGACTCTCTGCGACCCCATGGGCTGCATCATGCCAGGCCTCCCTGTCCTTTACCATCTCCTGGAGCTCAAACTCAAGTCCATCAAGTTAGTGATGCCATTGCGTGCCTCATGAGCTGACCACAAATCAAAAAACTGTCACTTTGAAGTGTCATTTCCTCTTATTCTACACAACAAAAACAAACCATTTCTTGATCAGATTGTGACATGTGATGACATGTGGATTTTATACGACAGCTGGTGACAACCAGCTCAGTGGATAGACCAAGAAGAAATTTCAAAGCACTTCCAAAAGTCAAACATGCACCAAAAAAGGGTCATGGTCACTGTTTGTTGGTCTGCTACCAGTCTAATCCACTACGGCTTTCTGAATCCCAGCAAAATCGTTACATCTGAGAAGTATGCTCAGCAAATTGGTGAGCTGCACTGAAAACTGCAAAGCTCACAGCCAGCTTTAATCAACAGAAAGGGCCCAGTTCTTCTCTACGACAAGGCCCGACTGCACGTCACACAACCAACGCTACAGAAGTTGAAGGAATTGGACTGTGAAGTTTTGCCTCATCCACCGTATTCACCTGACCTCTTGCCAACTGATTACCACTTCTTCAAGCATCTCAACAACTTTTTGCAGGGAAAACACTTCCACAACGAGAAGGATACAGAAATGCTTTCCAACAGTTCACGGAATCCTGAAGCACAGATTTTTACACTACAGGAATAAACAAACTTATTTCTCACTGGCAAAAATGTATTGATTGTAATGGTTCCTATTTTGATTAACAAAGATGTGTTTGGGCCTAGTTATAATGATTTAAAATTCATGGTCCCAAACTACATTTGCACCAACCTTCCTGGCATCTGCCTTTGCATCCTGTTCCATGACAATGGCCCCCAACGCTTCAGCTTGAGAAACTCTCCTCACCATCAAAGCAGTTTAATAAAAATTTAAATTGTGGTTGAGCTACTCTAGTGACAGGGCATGCCAAGCTTGTGCTATTTATGAGTTCCTCCACACATTATTTTAAGCCAACCAAATAGAATCCATATACATAAAGTGGTAAGCTGGAAAGCCAAGTAAATCTTTTCACAATTTATAAACCGTATTTTGTTTACAGGTAAACTGGCATTCCATTGGAAAATTTAATCTGCTTTAAATCTAATCTAAGACTCAGAACAGCTCAAGGAATGTTTGAATATAAATTTAACTCCTTTATTCACCTTTAGGCAGTATCTTTCAGCACAATGTGATAGAATGATATTGATAGGGATATTTGTCTAAAGCAGAGTCAAGTCGAGTATTAAAACACTGACACAAAAACCATTTTAAAAATGGTAAAAGTCAGCCTAATTTATTTTATAAGCCTGGTTAAAGATGTAAATTAAAACAACATCATTAAAGAAATAACAAAAGGTTACCATATCACTGCTTCCATGGGTCTGGATAACCAAAAATATATAAGCGGCCAAGAGTAATTTGAAACTATCTTTGATGGTTACTAGGAAAAATAACACAGGTAGAGAAGCCTAGGGGTTACATTCTAATTACCCAAGGAACTGAAAAAAGAGGGACCACTTGTCCACACTAAAAAGTTATACATAATAAAGCTGCTTTAGTGATTCCTTCAGCATCTCATAGCCTATCAGAACCAGAGGAGGAAGAGAACACACCACATCACCCCCTCTTTGCTTTATGGACATCTGAGACAAATGGTCATGTAGTCTCTTGAACAGCTCTGAGTTTTCATTTGATCACTGTATATGACAATCCAGTCTACTCTTTGACATCTCCAATCATAAGATCATTTTAAAAACAACAATCTAAAGATGCTTTCCTATAACTCCTACACTGGTTTTAGCTGATCTATTAGAAAGTCTTAGGTTTACTTCCTCTTCGCTGTGTTAGCTCAGCAAACATCT